ATGTTCAACCCAGTTTACTCAAATGGCCAGCGTACCATGCTGGGCAGGAATGAACTTTAAATCGCGTGTCGGTCTTCGCATGGGAGCAAATTGAAGTTCTGTCTTTTCGCGTAGGTAAGATAGGTCAGACCAAGGTTCAGGCTAAATGTCATGCAATAATGAATAATGGGTGACTGTACCTAATCCTGGCAGATATATGGTTAAAGCGCTGGATCATGAAATGTCATGGCCCAGTAGGGTTTTTTTCGTAGTGGGATAATTCAGAGCTCTGATGCAATTATATCTAATGTCAAGATCGTTAGAAGCAGTTGCCTACATCTGTTAGTCAGCCCCCTTTTGAATTCCTGTCTCCAGCCAACAATGGCTGCCTGTGATTTACTGAACTCAGCGTATTACACCTATTCACCGGGCAATCTACTTTCTTGTACATATCTGCATCATATCTGGCACCACCTTAATCGTATACTGACTTATAATTTCACGATCAAAACCACTCATCCAGGTGAACTGCAATGCTATAGTTCTGAAGAACGTCGCTACTAACTGCAATGGCAGGCTGCAGCAGAGACTCAATTCGCATACCTTCATTTGAAAATTAAATTCTTGTCAGCTAGCCATATCATCAATGTCTTCAAGGGATGGTTTTGAATGGCACAACGAGTACATCCAATTTCGGTAATTTAGCTTAGCTCGACATGCTTCGCGGCATAGTTTAGCTTGGCATGCCATGCCCCATACAATGTCTGTGGCGACTTTATACCTAGGCAGGCAGTGTCGTCTATAAGGGAACGGCCGTATAATGACAATGCTGATAAAAGTCGTATCTCTCTGCTATGAGCGGGTCCCATCATATAATCCGTCATGTACTTCTATGTGATCAAGATATCAGACTGGGGCCTCACCATATCGAGTTATTTGCCTCCTGGCCCCTATCGACCGAGTCGTACAGTACTCACTCTGCCTTGATGTCTTCAATGATCAATCAGACCGACTGGGTCGCCATCGCTCGCCATTTGCAACCAGATACCTGTCGTCCCAGTCCAACTACCCCAATTCCCAGCACACAAGCTCGGTACCTGTTGGTGTAGGCCGCACGGCCCCAACTACGAACACCCCGGCTTATGACACCCAGCCAGCTGACACAGATAGTAATATGTTCTTGTGCACTCCGCATCCGCCCACGGCTTACTCCCTCCCGTCATGACGCAATTCTCTCCACCAGTGACGTCACTTGGCTCACCCGGCTGCCACCAGGTGGTGGGGATAGTCATCACCCCTAGACCATCCTCAACAACATAAACACCCTCTCTAGCCTCATCAGTGGCACCCACCCAGCCGTACTTGGAGCCCAGGGTACACTGATGTTCGGCCTCGGACCGAGCGGTCGCCAGGTGAGCGCCCATCTGCTGGCACCCGGACCGCGCGGAGGAGAAACTAGCGGACGTTGTTCGCCAGGAGATACAGCGGCCGGTACAGAGGAGCCAGCCGTCCGGACAGGCGCATGGGTCGGTGAGTGTGCCTGAAAACGGGAGCGGGACGTGAGCAGAGTTTAGAGTAGGAGCCTGTGACGATATAGGAGCACAGCTGGGAAGGGTTGAAAAGGGACCGTGAACCGATACGGATGAGGTAATGGTAAAACGTCTAAAAGGGAGTCTGGAACGACATGGTAACTTGTGACGAAGAGACTTCAGCACAGGACAAAAAGGAAACCTGGAAGGGATACATCATACAGATCATGCGAGAGAAGTCTGGTAGCCAGCCCAAAGTATCCGAGGGATGTTCATGGCGTAACCAGGGCGGGGTCTGGCACATTTTACTGGGAACCAGAGCCGGATGTGCATGCAAATAAATGTTGTATTCACTGTGTTAACAAGCCACGCAGAAATAAATACGCACTCTGAAACAAAACTGTTCTTTACCTGGACAAGACGAGGGTGTCGTGGTGGTCGACTCCGCTGCTGTAAAAGTTGTCGGTTGTGCCGTCGTAGTCATTGTTGTTACTATAGGCTTTGTTGACAGATAGGTCCGAACTTCACCAGCTGCGGTTCCCAAGGTTTTTTAAAGGGTTAAAATGAATTTATATCACGTTTCGTAACCGCCGGATTTTGCTCATTCGCTCAGCAAGCTTCGGTGTGACCATTATTAACGGTACCGGCTTTTACTAATCAGGCGACGAGATCTACTGCCATCTAGCGGGCGGAGGTGAAAATACTCTTGGTGAGCGCTGCGGTACAGTATACCATTCAGGCGACTACATCTACTGCCATCTAGCGGGTGGAGGTGCAAATACTCTTGGTGAGCGCTGCGGTACAGTATACCATTCAGGCGACGCGTCTACTACCATCTAGCGGACGGAGGTGAAAATACCTATTTATCAGCTGCCGGACATTGGTCACGTGACCACATTTTCCGTGTGACCTTGAGTTGGCACCAGATTTTGTCGACAGACGTGGCGCAGCTTATTTCGCTGCATTGTTTTAGATACTAAATATTTAGGCGTGTGGTGGTAAATGATACCGTGCAAATAATATTGAATCATCGGTGACATAGTTACCATTGATGCTTGAATAGCATCAATAAAATGCAATTCATCTATTATTACTCTTCCATTGATTTTAATGTGTTTGCAGGCATAGGTAGAAACTGAAAAGCTGAGCCTGCAGCTTACAGTTGTTCTATACAGTAGCGGCGGAACACCTTCAATTAAGGGGGGGGGGGGGGGCACTGCCGACTTTCGGTCCGATTCTTTCCATGCAACGCCCATAGGGCTAATGTTAAAATGCCAAAATTATAGGGGGCACGGTGCCCCGGTGCCCTCCCCGTTCCGCCGCCTATGGTTCTATAACTCTTAACATAAATCAATGCTACTGAGGGCTGCAAATTTGTTTTTTACCTATCTTTAATAACTGATGCCCTACCTTCATCTACCATTATCTGTAAGAATCTTGCATCAATCATTACCAGACTTCTTAGTTTTTTTGTTTTACATACCTACGCCCCAGCCGCGAGAGTGGGCGGGTACGACTCCCTCGCCTTAATTGAGCTAGCCTCGCGGGAAAAACGAGCATGTGTGCCGTAACGGGACCGGGGACGCAGCGATTGATGCACGGTTTAAAAGTCTCAGGTCAACTGATGGCCTCTGAGGGTCAGGTTAAGTGACCCGAGGGCCAAAATACGATTTCAGGTTTTGAAAAATAACTTTGTCAAAAAACGGCGCAGAGTCGCGATTTTAGTACCATCATGTTTGTCATGCTCCGGTGCGTCAAAATGATACACTTTTGTTTGGGTGGGGTCAACATAAGGTGTTCACATCGGATCAAAGCCAGGTCAGAGGCACTCAGGTCACGAACTTGGTCGGAGGAGGTTATATCGCATATCATTCGATTCGGTAGGTCTTCCCGAGTCTATTGGCGACTTTTCCGACTTGCCAGCTCAATTTTATCAGGAGTTATAGACGAAAAAAACTTGTGACATTTGTGACGTCATGAATGACGTCACGCTAGGTTAAAGATGCAAAAGTGAAGCATTGGACATTGCAAGAATTGCATGAAATTGCGATTCCATGTGCTTGAGCTAGGTTTAGATCATTCTCGGCGTCAAAATTACAGTTTCCATATTTTCCCCATTGACTTGCAATGGTGACGTCGCGCGATCGGCCTGACCTTATGTGACCTCTAGGAGAAATCCGAGATATACAAGTTTTGAGACTCCTAGAGGATACTAGGTCCTGTGTAAAACAACAGCTAAATGACAGTTAAGCAAAAAGTTACCGATTGTTTTGGCTTTCTGAACTAAGAAAGAAAACACAGCGCCCTTGAACAACAAATTGTTTCAATTAACTACTCGAACAACACACAGCACCTCCTACTACCCTTCCCGTGTGTCTGTGAACCCGCCTCGTCTCGCCGGCCGACGTCCACGGAGCCCACAGGACCAACGACAAGACGCTTGGACGTCAGCTACCGCTCATACCAGGGCAGGGCCGAGCCAAGATTACTTTACTACCTCAGAGCTTTACTGCAGGGACCGAGCTATGTCTCGACGCACACCGGGCCGAGGGGAAAACAAAACAGAATAAGGATTAAATCGCGCAGTGGCACGCACTGGCGGATCCAGACAGGCGCTATTGGACGCTGTAGAGGCATATCCCCACTTCAAATTCCAAAAACGCCTCTATCGCAAAGTGGACAGGGGACATCTAGGGAATGGTCAGAGCCTGGCGCTTGTTAACATTTTAGTGCGTTAGGCCCTATCGGTCCATTGACAATGAGGGTATTTCAGCTACATGTGATGAAAGAACAGTATGAGGCATGGTGGGTAATCGAGTCGAACACCGGTTGGTACAACGCGCAGTGTGCATGGTCAGTTCATTGTCCGTCAGTCCGAACAAGGATATCTAAGCAGTGGACAAGGACACGGATGGATACAGATAACCTGCGGATTCATATACTATCTTAATCATACCTCCACCCCTATCTACGCAGTGTCTTTGTGATAAAGATGGTCACCCCTAGCCATACCTGACCCCCATGACTAACTAAGTTCAACCGGTGGACTTCTATCAACTAATTATCAATCTTAAGAACACTCAAGGATTGTAATGTTGTGCGGCGACGTAGCCAAGTCAAACAATTGTCTGAAGTCGATGGTTCATTTTTCTGTTGACTTCAATATTGTGAGCTCGGTATAATCACGACCACCACAGAGCCTTGCTGAACTGTTCCATTTCCTCGTCAGTGTAAACCACAGCCGTTCGTCAGGCCCTGGGTCTCCCGTGATATAACCCGTCTGTGTTGGCGGTATGACGACACACACAGACTACAGTGCCGCGGGCGGTATGGCGCTGGCATGGTGCACCGAGACAGGTCACCACGAACGGCCGGACGGTAATGCACCGGCACTGTGCACCACGGCTGTCCAGCCGTATAGTGAGACTGTATAAGATAGACTGGTTTATCACAGCCAATGGTATGTGAATGGCATGTTTGAAACGGCCGAGATAGGCAAACACTAAATGTATTGAACAGATGAAACTACAAAACATCAACATAGCGATCCATGAGGCACACCATTGCAGTTGTATGAGCGAACCATTTATCGACAGGGTCCAGTAATACAATAAATAAAACTATTCACGATGTTATTTGATAACGTAGCGCAATGTCATCGAGTCGTGTGTGTGCAACTAAATCCAAAATTGATCAAACGGCATGCAGCAACGCCCCTAATCAACGATCACAGCCAAAAGTCACATTGTCACAATAAGTTGATCCACCGGCAATAGCATGCAATGTAAAATCACAACAGGCTCGTAACAACCACCCCGCCTGCACAGCTGCACACACATCAGCTGGTCACCGTGCACCTCTCACTGTGTTTCCTCAGACAACGGGTGTCCACAAATCCCTTGCCACACCGCTCACACCTGTGTCGGTAGTCGTGTGTGTGCCGGGCGGTGACGTGTTTCCTCATGACCGACTGCTGCGCGAACCGTGCCGGGCAGAATGAGCACCCGTACGGCCGCTCCCCCGTGTGAGTCCGCATGTGTGTGGTGAGGGTCTCCTGTCTGACAAACCGGGCCGAGCACACCTGGCACCGGTGCGGCTTCACACCGTTGTGTGACTGCATGTGTTTGGTGTAATTAGACAGCTGGTTAAACACGGCGCCACACTGCTCACACTGACGCACCTTCTCCCCGGTGTGGATCCGTCTGTGGCTCGTTAGGTGACTGTTCTGTGTGAACGCCTTCCCACAGACGTCACACACGTACGGTCTCTGGCCGGTGTGTGTACGGTGGTGACGGGTCAGATGACCGCGCTCAGTAAACGTCCTGCCGCACTCGTCACAGTGGTGGGGCCGCTCTCCCGTGTGGGTGAGGCGATGGTTAATCAAATTATGCACGTTGTTCGTCGAGTACTCACACCACTCACACTTGTACCGTCCGTTCCTGCCGATGTGACCGTGCCATGTCTTCACATGCCTGTCCAGCCGCTCCTGTCCCAGACAGGTGTAGTCGCAGTGGACGCAGCGGACCGTGGAGCCACCTGGCGAATGACACTGATTACCACAAACCAGTATACATGGATGTATGTGCATACTATCAAAATGTGACATCATGTGCATTTTGTTGAAGCTCATAGTTGCGCCTGTCTACTTATCTATTAGATGAGGCGGCCAGTAATATAGATGTCGCTCTAGTCAGTCTGCCTTTGGGGATGGCAGTCAGCCAGTCATGCCTCGCGGAAAAATGACGTTGTTCAAGTGTTTTACTGATTGGCCAACTACTGAGCATTTTGTAATATATCTATTCTATCGGAGATGCTATATTTGGTCGTTCACCTGACACGAAGGCTGCTGGCGGCGGGGCGGCGGCCGGAGCCTTCCTGAACGTCTGCACGTTGATGTTGAGCTCCCGGGCGTAGGCGTCTCCGTAGTAGACCAGCAGCTCGGAGCCCTTCACAATCGGCTTGTACGTCCTGTGGCCATAACGAAAGGTGCAGCAATGAGTCAGAAAACAAAATAACGAGTGAGCACTGAATTCCGAATATTGTGCGCATTGATCACGCTAACAATTGCTGCCAAAAAGGGTCACAGTGCAATACAAATTGACACATCACGAATGACAACAATGGAAAGAGCAGTTATACAGCTCAGCTGTCATTATTACCGAGTAATGTTCCAATAATTCAACAGTTTCTTCTGACTGCAAAGTACCAGCGCCCAATGACCATATGAGGCCGATAATTGTATAGCTGAATGACAGCTACCGTGAGAAGCAGTGAACATGGGGCAAGGTCTGCGCTAGACACGTTCACCGTTACCTGTAGTACATCTGGCCCTTGTACTGGAAGGCGATCAGGTTCTGCTCCTGCTCGAAGCGGGCACAGTTGACCAGCCGCAGCCAGTTGCTGGAGCTCGAGTCGCCGGCGTTCACGTAGTGGTGCACGCGGCGACACTTTTTGATCTGCAAAACCGTTGGTGTGCGTCAGTCAATGGCCGTTTAGCGTTTAATTACGTATTTACAACACAAGAAGTTAACCCGGCAGTTGCTGGGGTATTTCGCCACCCACCGTTTGCTGGGGGGGGGGGGGAGGGGGGGCGTTAAACGCCCCCAGCCCATAACTCGAGAACCAATAGGCGCAGCGAAACGCACGAGGCGGCAAACGAAAGAACGCGACGAGACGCTTCAGATGAGTACTTTAAAGTTGAATTTTGAGGTCACAGGTCAGGTCAAGGTCAGGTCAAACACCTGAAATCGGGCTTTCAGTAGCATGGACTTCAGGACTTCGCAATGGGCGCCTCTCGTCATAAACTCTGTCAAAACGGTGCACAATCCATCATAAAAGGTCTACAAGAGTGTCAGCTCCATGTAGGGGTCAGTCAAGGATAGGTCAGGGTCAAGGTCAGGTCAACCGGGTAGGCACATAGGTATCCCCGAAAATCAAAACTGATATTCGCAGCCTGTGACACATGTTTTATGGGTAATTTGGGGCGTAGAACACGTTGGTCACATTCATTTTATCATACGAGTACGTGTTTGGCTCAAAAAGTTCAATTTAAGAAATGCATGTACCATGGTCGTGAAGTAGTCACGAGAAATTGCCAAGATTCAGTTCAAGATTTTGGAAAATGCGGAACGATAATCAATAATCGAAGATAGCCATTTGATTGGTCATGGTATTGGCAGTCCAATGGCGTTTACCGCATGTCTGTATGTCTATTCTGTGATTTTATATGATTTTTTTTTAGCATGTGCCGTTTTTGGTTGAAAACTGAGAAATCATGACGTCACTAAAACCTCGATATCTCAAAAATTTTCCGACCGATTTTTTTGAAACTTTGTCACAATAACCTTCAATCAATTCCCTACAGGTACCCAAAATTTGTAGGCGCGCCGTTTTTATGCTATGGCCCGGCGAAAAAAGTGGAGGCGTTTAACGCCCCCCCCCCCCCCCAGCAACTCGCGGGTTAAGAGTTACTAGTTATCGAGGGTGTCAGCATCACAGAGATGTCGAAGACTGTACTTCCTCATCCATGACAGCAATGTCAATCTGGCACCAGCTTTGCTAAGCTTTTCTAACATCAAATCAGTAACACGACGTGGGGATTTGATAGTCATTTCATTCTGTTCATAAACCACACTAATGACTGAAACAGACTCTTTCCGCAGTCAGGAAATCGCATGCGGATGCGATTGATGCGGGAAGAACCAAGAACTATAATGTAGTTGAATAGGCTCTCGCATGCGATTTCTTGAATGCGGAAAGTCTGTTTCAGCCTTAACCCGCGCCCTGCTGGGGGGGGGGGGTGTTTGAACACCCCCCTTGTGTTTTTTTGCAAATATCTCAAAAACGGCGGCGCGGAGCGCCGCCGTTTTTGGTACACCTTATCATACATCAATTCTACACATGTTGTGAAAATTTCAGACCAAGGTCATTCAAGGTCAGGTCACCAGGTCACTTGAAGAGACCTCACCTCATAAAAAGTTTCAATGTCTGTCATAGCTACACAGAGTGACCGATCGCTTTGAAACTTTCAGCGATTGCTAAGAGCAATAGCATGTACAAAATGTATATCTCAGAATTTTGATATCGATGACCTAAGGTCAGGTCAATTTTGCGACCTCCCCATTATAAGTCAATGGGAGAAAATTGAAATGCGCCGCTTTTGGACGAAAGCCATTATACAGGGTGTCCGGAAAGTCCTGGCGCTTCTTTTGGACGCCGTGTAACGCGCGCTGTGATTATTGGACATTCAGCCAATCATCACAGACATGACCCCTCGTTGATTGCTCAGCCAGAGGTCGTGTAAATATGACCTTGAAATCGTTTTCAGTGATGGGTAGATGAGCAGATGCGCCTTGTCGCTGAATGCCTGAGCGCGGCGGCCGGGTGCGACTTGAACGAGGCTCGAGCTGCAGCGCGATGCGGCGTTTTTCGATGAATGGTTTAGCAGGTAAAGGTTTATTTCGACTCGGGAATTCCTTAGAAAATATCCTCAGACCGTTTCGAACGCGATATGGGAACGGAGCAGCATTTCAGCGCGGCAATCGAAGAAAGTGCGGGGGTCTGATGGACAAAAATGTCCCATCATCTTCGTCAATGTCGAATAAATGAATAACAGGCTGGCCCACGAGGGGTTCCTGGACAGCCACATCAACCCGAGGGTCAAGACGACATGCCCTAAGGGTCACTTCGCATTTCAACAGCACAGAGCACCCTCCAACAACGCCGCTGCCATTCAAGCTAAACTGACAGAAGAGCTTGCCGGGCCAGATCACCGTGGCGAAATGAGATCAGGCCGCCTTATTCTCCTAACCTGACCCGCTCGACTAAGGCGTGCTACGCGTTTTGTAGAACAGGATCTAGGCCATTTCTCACCCCAACCTGGAGTCGCTGAAGACTCGCATCATGACAGCATGGGAGGACCTGGAAATGCCCCGCATCGTCAAAACCCGCAGACGCTTCCTCCCCTACGTCGAGGCCGTCGTCGGCGCCGGCGATGGTTACATTGAATGAGCACGTAGCGGAAGCATGTGGCTTGGTGTCCCTGGTCATTGTTTTGATCCATTGATTAGTATCTATGAACCAATGGCATTTGTTTTAGAAAATGTTGAAAAGCGCCAGAACTATCCGGACACCCTGTAAACACTCCAAAACACCGAATTACAAGTGGTTTAGACACACTGAACATGAAAATGGTGTCCGTGATCCTTGTTTATGCCCTGAGGTCATCTTAGGTCACGAATGGTATCTAACAGTTTTTCGCAAATAACTTTTGATAGATGCATGCTAGAGCGATGAAAACGCCTTAGATGTGTTCAGCTCGACGATACAAATCGACTGATATGCAACATGACCCTTTCCGGTCAGGTCATGACCTTGACCTGAGGTCAAATTTTCAAGTTGACCTTTCAAGGTCAAGTTATAGTTCATTCGATGCGTCTTGACGAGAGGAACACGATGCCGGTGAAAGTAAGCTCGTACAAGGCTTGGGTCAAAAGTTATTGCAGAAAAAACTGTTTCCAAAAAAATCGGCTATTTTGCAGTTTTTGCCCCCTGCAGGCAAAACCGTTGAAGTTAGGTCAAATCTGAGAGAATTACTCAGAAAGGGCGTTATTAGGGCTATCGAATGCGCTTTTCCGCAGCGCTGTAGCTCCATTGGTTCCCGAGTTATGCGTTGGCTTCTTGGAAATTGTCGACATTCGACCTGGAAATCGGCGAAATTTTGCCTTAAATGACCTCTGGTGACCTGACCTTTGACCTGACCAAAAAATTGACCGAAGTGATTTCGTGATTATTTTTTACGCTCTTTCGAACGCCGCCTTCCGCGTATCGCTACGTGGCCCAGGAGCCGAGTTACAAGGGGGGTGTTCAAACACCCCCCCCAGCAGGGCGTAGAAATCCAGGACCCCCAGCCGGGCGCGGTTAATGCAAATATCTGAGTTGGTTCAAAAATGCTTTTCTCTCAATTTCCCTGGCTGGTTCCGTTTTTGTTGTTTCCCGATAAGCGCGATTGATATTTAGTTTCCAAAATACATCCCACGCAGACCCGCCCCAGACCCACGGCTGGCTCTCACCTCCCAGCTGTAGCCCGAGTCGGTGGCCTGGCGTCGGTCGGCGGTGACGATACCCTCGTAGGGACCGAACCTCAGCCGCGCCGGCAGGTCCTTCTCCGTCCAAATGCCTGTGTGCCGGTGAACGGGGGGGGGATACAGGTCAGTGACGCTGGTAGTTACTGTCCATAGGCTAAACACAGCCTGCCGAGAACAGAATCAGGAGGCATTGGCAATGTATAATATACTTCAGAACGCGATAAGGAATACATCACCGCCGCAGGATATTTAATGTGGACAACAAGAGATGGAGGAACTGTAGGAAACGACATGACAACACTTTATTGACGCTACAAAAGAACGATTCCTATCAATACAGTCCTAGAAGATCGTGAAACAATAAAGAGGGGATCCATAATCAAGTGATCAGGATAAATAATGAGGATTTTACCGGTGTTGGCTCCGGGGATTTTGGACCGGCCCGGGTTGAGGAACTCGGGACGGGTCTTGATGTCTCTCTCTGGATCGCCAATGTCGAACGGGACCTGTGCAGTGTGCAAGCGTGTTGCGATGATCACAATAAGTAGTTAACCGATGATAATTGTTCAATGATTGAGAAAAGAATAACACGGAACACTTTTCAATTTAAATAGTTTAGCGGACATTGTAGCATGACAAAGGTAGTAACTACCACTCGAACCACTTTTTACGGTGAGATAATATAAAATAATGAGCAAGGTCAAGCGCGAGCTGTAGCTTACTTAAAAACACATCGCATGATTTATGAAGTGATCGACCGGAGTTCAAAGCTACACAAACAATGCCATCAGACTTACAAACGGAGCGAGAGCAATTAGCGGTCCCCTCCCGAGTTCCGTACCTTGTTGTCGGGTACGACCTCCAGGGGCCCGTGGACAGGACAGTCGCCCTCCCACTCGCGGTCACACTCGTCACAGACTGGAACAACACGAAATAGAGGTTATCTCTATCTGTCAAAAGACTGAAGACTCAGAAAACGAGAACACGTATTATGGCCGATATGACCGTATAATACACAGCAGAATGTGGTGAGTGGTGACTTCGAAAGGTTGAGTGTAATTTGTTGATGAGACGGTAGCTGGTTCCTCACAGATGTAGTCGTCGTCGTCCAGGTCCTCCTCCTCCCGGTAGTTGACCGTGTTCCGGCGGCGTTTGAACACCTCCCGCTCGGGAGGCTCTGTGAAATTTGATATTACATCACGTTATGCCCGAACACTCAATGTAACATACGTAGCCACAACAGCACCAGCTGGAATAACATCCAGTTGCTATCGCATAAAGTGAAGGACAAAGCTTTTGGTCTCACGATAAACGCCAAAACCGATCGTGACCGTAAATGGTGTCTTTTCTAGGACATGCTATTCATACCAGCGACAATGGTGATTACGATCATTACCTTCTCCCAAGTCCTTGAACTCGGCGATGATGTGGTTCCACAGCAGTTCAGCTTTCGTGTCCACAGCGTGCCGGGCCCTGAAAGTCGCGTCAAACCATACATAAAATGGTCTTGGAGGTTCTTTTTTTTTGGCGATAAAAAGGTTCTTGAATCTTGCCTTGCAGAAGGTGTGCGGAAAGTAAACCGGCCGCCAAACAAACAGTAGATATCCGACCACAGACAATTCGCTTAAATGCAAACCCAAAGTGCCAGTCGTTGTAATTACAGCAAAATATCGCTAGTTTTATAGGTATCGCTAGATATAGATAGGTATCTTGAAATTTTCACAATAACACTCGCTGTCGTCACTTACTTGAACTGATCCTCGAGCGTAAAGCCGATGAAATCGTACGGCGGCGACGGCGGCCGGTGCGGAGACCGGTCCGCCTCCTTTGCTGCCCCCTCTGTGGTGACCGGCCGCCGCTCCTGCGACTGGACGTGCTCACCGCACACGGCCGAGGAAGCAGCGGGCGCCGTCTGAAATATAGTGACAGGTGCTGATGAGATACTCCAAGAAAGCCAAGCGATGACCTTCCAGCCTCGGGCATATTATTGAACGGGAAAAGACGTGATAACTAGCAAGTATAAGCAGAAATTACGCCCTTATTAAATACTACCGTATAATTACTACCTTGTCCTACAATAAACAAAACAGGTGAAAAGTGCTAATCTACCTCTCCGGATTACAATGTTACATGTCCCGTGCTTTAAAGAGAAGATAGCCACCACCAGCCCAACAGTTCCCCACCAACCTCAGCCGATGTCACCGTCGCCGTCCTCTTCACCGGCGGCTGGAACTTGCTCTTGGCGGCGCCACGTCGCACGGTGGAACGCGACCGCCGCTGGGCCGGCCGGACGCATCGCGACGGACTCCAGTCATCGTCGCCGTCGTCGGCCGACCTCGCTGGTCGAGGACGCTTCGGTCGGGCCGGCCGGGGCGGCGGCGGCGGTGCGCGCATGAACGACGGCGGGTGACCCGCGATTCCTGTGTGGGGACCGACACAAGCACTCAGCCGATAATGGAACACTTAACTGCTTCTCCTGGATTTCTGGCGGAGTCGTCAGCCATAAATGGAGGGCTGGGGCCGTGCTCTAACCAAATGACAGCAGTATTCGTGTGTATAGGCGTGGGGGAACTGCAGGGCTCGCTAACACCTTTACGGCGTGGCGGACATAGTGCCTGCTTTCCTCCCTCATAGTTACGACTGCCGTACCGTTCCAGTGGCAACGCCGATGAACAGTTTGGCTAATCGTACACAAAACGGGGCTTAATGGGCATCAGCTCCTAGGCACGCCTGTCTTGGTGGTGTAACTATGCGTAGCCAAACGCCGAATCAGATCACCACGGTGGTCAAATACTAAATAGAGCCGGGAAATCAAACCAAATCCTGTTACACAGCCAGTCCCGGGCCGACACAACAGCAAACTCTCATACCTGAGATCTGCATAAATTAGACGATTATAATCTTACCCTCGCTTTAGATGTTTTCACAGCCGCTGACGCATAGGATCGATTGGCCGCCGGCACCCTAGCTCACTTAAAGCAATTTAACCCTTGCCCGATTGGGTGGGGGGGTCAAACGGACCCCCTCTCGGTTTTCGCGAACAACTCGCGTAAAAACGGCCGATCACGACACAACTTCTAGTACCCTCGCGTTAAACAATTTCACACCTACCCTGACAATTTCATGACCCTGACCCAAATGACCTTTGACCTACTTTTCGAGACCATGTTTGGCCGGAATCGCGATTCGGTGTATGTGGGCTGGCATTAGCCGAGCGTTTGCAGTCTTTTCGTGGTTTTAAGCATTCAAACATGTGATATGATGCTGCTCCCATGCATTAGGGTGGGTGTCAAGGTCACCTGAAGGTCAGGTCAGGTCATCGACCTTTGATGACCAATGTCCACTTTTTCGAGTTTTACATGTTTTTAGGCTAGATTTGGGAGCTGAATTCGAAGTCAACCATTTGAACTATATGAAGTACTTTGGTGCCTCATAATATATTACGAAGCTGTCTGAGGCGGCTGACACCTACTACGAATACCCGGCAGGACCCCTCCTAGTTGAACTGACCTGACCCGACTTGGCCTAAATGCATGAAGACATCATCTGTGATCAAAACAAACATGACATTCGTGATCAGCACCCCGAAAACCCTTAGCAGCCACACTTTACGACGCTTTAACAGGTCCCGATTTTTCATGCTGTTGGGTCACTTCGTTAAAGGTAGTGTGCCAGCTTTCCTGGACCGTATGGAGTTAATGGCCCAGATAAGGAGAACCGGATTTTTAGAACTTATCCATACCTTCAAAACTCATGGAAACGTCTTAAATTCTTCAAATTTTGAGTACCCCAGTGCGAAATTCGCCCCGACGGGTTGTCGGTCGTACCCCAACCACATTTCACACCACTATGAACAATAAATGCACACACTGAAATCGCTATTACCGATATGCTCATCCTATCAAGTTTCGATAAACCCGTTCATCATCAGCTCCTGCGGTTTCGAACACGCCTGTTAGGTGGTGCGGTAGACCGCGCCCAAAGCCAGGGCCCCGGTAACGTGAGGTAGCCGAGTCAGGGCAGCGTGCGCTGACCCAAGCCGGAGCTGCGCGTCCTCCCGGTGTCATGTGATAGCCCGGGGCTGCCCGCGGGGATGCGGTAGACCGCGCCCAAAGCTGCGGCCCCGGCTTGGGTCAGCGCACGCTGCCCCGACTCGGCTACCTCACGTTACCGGGGCCCTGGCTTTGGGCGCGGCGGTGGTGGTGCGTCGGGCTGCGCGCTCTGACTTCGGCCAAGAAAAATGCGTCAGCTGATCATTGTCATTTCTGCCACTTGCGTGTGATGAAATGGGGCCATAACTTATGAGACGGCTTTTTCATATCAATTATTTTACATAAAATCATATTTCAAACCATAAGTAATGTTCGACAGCCAAATAAAAGAAACAATACCAATACAGGCTTACAGTTTAAGGCTCGACATTGTGTTGTCTACGATTAGACAGCTGATAACTCATTCCCGTACGTCGTATGGTCGTAACACTATAATGACCTTTGCTTATTGTCACATGTGCGCCGCATTCGCGATTGTTGCCGACGCCTGTTTGCAGGTGAGCCCACTACAGTTGTTATACATATCGAAAAACCGATAAGCTTTTAGGCGAAAAAGGCACTATTCCAGGCCCATTTTTGACTTTTTTTGCGATATTAGGTAAAAACAGAAGCTTCTTATCCTAGGAAAAATAAAATGGGAAATCTTTCAAAGGTGGCACACTACCTTTAAAGGTAGTGTGCCAGCTTTCTTGGACCGTATGGAGTTAATGGCCCAGATAAGGAGAACCGGATTTTTAGAACTTATCCATACCTTCAAAACTCATGGAAACGTCTTAAATTCTTCAAATTTTGAGTACCCCAGTGTGAAATTCGCCCCGACGGGTTGTCGGTCGTACCCCAACCACATTTCACACCACTATGAACAATAAATGCACACACTGAAATCGCTATTACCGATATGCTCATCCAATCAAGTTTCGATAAACCCGTTCATCATCAGCTCCTGCGGTTTCGAACACGCCTGTTAGGTGGTGCGGTAGACCACGCCCAAAGCCAGGGCCCCGGTAACGTGAGGTAGCCGAGTCAGGGCAGCGTGCGCTGACCCAAGCCGGAGCCGCGCGTCCTCCCGGTGTCATGTGATAGCCCGGGGCTGCCCGCGGGGATGCGGTAGACCGCGCCCAAAGCTGCGGCCCCGGCTTGGGTCAGCGCACGCTGCCCCGACTCGGCTACCTCACGTTACCGGGGCCCTGGCTTTGGGCGCGGCTTCTGCTCATCCTTTGTGGTGCGGTGGTGGTGCGTCGGGCTGCGCGCTCTGACTTCGGCCAAGAAAAATGCGTCAGCTGATCATTGTCATTTCTGCCACTTGCGTGTGGTGAAATGGGGTCATAACTTATAAGACGGCTTTTTCATATCAATTATTTTACATAAAATCATATTTCAAACCATAAATAATGTTCGACAGCCAAATAAAAGAAACAATACCAATACGGGCTTACAGTTTAAGGCTCGACATTGTGTTGTCTACGATTAGACAGCTGATAACTCATTCCCGTACGTCGTATGGTCGTAACACTATAATGACCTTTGCTTATTGTCACAAGTGCGCCGCATTCGCGATTGTTGCCCGACGCCTGTTTGCAGGTGAGCCCACTACAGTTGTTATACATATCTAAAAACCGATAAACTTTTAGGCGAAAAAGGCACTATTCCAGGCCCTTTTTTTGCGATATTAGGTAAAAACAGAAGCTTCTTATCATAGGAAAAATAAAATGGGAAATCTTTCAAAGGTGGCACACTACCTTTAATGTTCAATTCAAATGGTTGCTTAATTCAAATTCAGCTCCTAAAACTAGCTTAGAAACATGTCAAACTGGAAAAAAGAACCGAGGTAATCAAAGATCAGTGACCTGACCTGACCTTCAGGTGACCTTGACACCCACATTAATGCATGTCACAGCATCATATCACATGTCTGAACGCTTGAAACCACGAAAAGACTGCAAACGCGCGGCTAATGCGAATCGACATCCACCGAATCGCGATTCCAGCCAAACATGGTCTCGAAAAATAGGTCATAGGTCAAAGGTCATTGGGGTGGTCAGCCGGGTCATAACATTTAAAGGGTAAGTGCAAAATTGATTAACGCGAGGGTATTGAAAGTTTCATGGCAATCGGCCGCTTTTTACATGAGTTATCCGCGCAAACCAGGGGGGGGGGGGAGAGGGTTCGTTCGACCTCCCCCCCCCCTATATATGGGCGAGGATAAACTTAGGTTCTCCAAATAGCCGTTCCGTATGGATTACACTTTAAAGCAGCTCCATCCTCCCGCTAGAGATACAAACTACCGAATAATGCACGTTTAATTCATACCATAATTTAATTCATGCTGAATACCGGCAACATGTTTACAGCTTGCTTTTCCGTAATCCTAGCACACCTTTTCCGTGGATTAACCCTCGCCCGTATTGGTGTTTTTCCAGCCGTGAACGTAACGTATAAGGGGGGGGGGGGGGAGCGTTGGACCCTCCTTGCCGTTTCGCCCCTGATTGAGCTAGAGTTTCGCGGTAAAAACGAGCATGTAGTTGACACCCACCCTAATGCATGGGGCCGGGGCAACATCATATCCCATGTTCATGTTTGAACGCTTGAAACCACGAAAAGACTGCAAACGCGCGGCTAATGCGGCGTATGTCGGCCCGACATACGCCAAATCACGATTCCGGCCAAACATGGTCTCGAAAAGTAGGTCACAGGTCAAAGGTCATTTGGGTCAGGGTCATGAAACTTTAAGGGTAGGTGTAAAATTGATTAACGCGAGGGTACTGAAAGTTTCGTCGCGGTCAGCCGCTTTTTACGCGAGTTATTCGCGAAAAACCGAGAGGGGGTCCGTTCGACCCTCGTTCGACCCCTCCCTAAGTACTGATACGGGCGAGGGTTAACGACACCTCTATACTGATACCTTTAACCCTATTAGTGGCAGGCTCCTGGCTACCCCCTATTAGTGGCAGGGGGGGCTGTTTACGACCCCCCTTGATATCTCGAGATCTAACCGGCCGATTTTCAAAATTCAAACGGCATTCGATTTCGCTCAACGAGATCTACATTTCTAAAAAAAATAAAATTAAAAAATGTCAATAGGGGGGTAGAGGGGGGTAAAAACGGGCAAATTGCAGATACATTTTAGACTGTTTATCACGGCCAGGTTTCTGAACCAATCTTAATGCAACTTTTGCCGATCGATAGAGAATGAACCAGGAATTCACATGGATCCTAAAAATATGCATTTTCAAAAATCATAGGCGGATACAGATCATTGAGATTGGGGGTACACAAAAAGTATAGTAAATAAGGTTTTTGTTGGTACTGTTTCTAAAAAGGGTGGCAACGGTCTTGTTATGTTACAATTTTCTTATGAGAGAACGACTAAA